CCTTATCCCTCTCTCTCTCTCTCTCTGTCTCTCTCTATCTATTTATCTATCTAAATTTCTCTTTCCATACTTCACGAAAAGGCAACCGTCAAATAAAACGGTTTATTCTTGTTGTTTTCTACGATTACTAAATCTGGTCTTCTGACCTAGCAATCTGTTTGAATATCAAAGTCCAGAGGGTTTTATGCGTTTCATTCGCTAAGACAACTTCTGATCTTTACGCATATAATTGGTTTGTGTAGTCGAAATGAATATGATTGCACAGTTTCCAGAGGATCCTTTTTCCCACCCAGTCATATCTATTCTTGTATTCCTTCTTTGTCAATTTACTATTTTTCCTGTTTATGTATTGATTATTTATCAACACAGTCTATATTTTCTTTTCTTGCGTTTTATAGAGTTTGATTTTTATGGCGTTGTTTTATGTCATTATTTAGAGAGATTGATTTTCTTTCTTTAGGTTTCCCATCGTCAATATGCCTGCCAATCTTTGGATTTGTCTTCTGAAGTGTTTATAAAATTGTTTTTTTTTCCAATATTATTAATCTTACTCTTCCTGGTTTTGTATTGATTTCTTTGCAGTTTTACTCAATGTTTATTCTTCGAGTGCTTCTTGAATGTAAAATCAACTCACTTCTCGACACTGACTAATTCTCTTCTTTTTAACATAAGGAGCTGTCGGCACCGTTTATTTTTAAGTAGTTGTTATATGTAATATACCTATGGGGGCTACACGACTCTGTCTGCCAGGGCACTTCTTTTAACGCCCACTAGGTAGCGTTGTATAAAGTTGTATATAAGGAAATGACAAAAATACTCTCTGTATCATTTTCTTGCTCTCTCATCCACAGGATGTAGTAGTGACAAGAGGGGACACATCCCTTTCGAGGAGACAATCTTCGGGCGAACCGACTTCTTAATTTCAACCAAACCACGTGGTGCATTACTCCCTCCCTCCCCCCTCTCTCTCTCTCTCTCAAACACACTCCACAAATAATCAGGTAAGTATATATTTCTCTTATCTTCTGAAATATATATATATATATATATATATATATATATATATATATATATATATATATATATAAATATATAATCCACGCCTCGTTGAATTCATTTTATTTTGAAAGTTTTCAATCTATGTCCGTTATGATTGGTAACACCCTCCCCGTTACATACAATTCAGTTTTCGTCCGTTTTTTTTAACGGGTAGCCATGTCCGCCATTGATCATTCCTGGAAATGGCAGTTGTCCAGACAAGCGAACCATATTCTGAGATATTTATGTGTAGATGTACACGGTCGAGTGACGGGATATCAGATTTATTTCAACGAATAATATTTAGTGTGTCTTTATATACTGGTTAACGGTGTGTGTGTGTGTGTGTGTATGTGCGTATTTGTGTGTATGTATGTGTCTGTGTATGTGTGTGCGGGTATTTATTGAATATCATTGCAGTCTGCTTTTCAAATAGTGTCAACTGATTGTTTCATACACGTGTTCGAAGGTGTGTCTAGTCGATTAAATATTTTACCTTGCAAACATCTTTACATGGATAAAGTCAGACAGAAAGAAAATTGTCAGCACAAACTAGACATAAAATTTTATGTATTTTATATGGGAATAAAGTGTCGCAGCCGACACTGGAGTTTGAACACAGAGCAAACACAGGCGATCCCACTTGAAATGAGCAGATCACGTGATGGCAAAAGAAATGCATATATGGGAATTAGGGTGGACGCCTAAACGATCACTATTTCAACACTATTCTCTTCTCTATGCTATTTGCTTATACTGATCACTATATGAATTACTATTCGGTGGTTACTTTCCGAGCGAGTATTATCGTGCAAGTATTATTAGTTCGAGTGTTATTCGAAGGCGTCTGACACCAGTATTGTTCAACGGCGTTACTATAGTTGTATCTGCGATTACAAAGTCTCTACTACATCGAGCCAGAGGAAAGTGACAACAAGTGTTCGTTGACATCACAAAAATTCGTAAAAATTCATACAATTTGCACACATTTACCATTTACAGAACAAGAAATGTTGTTCCGCCATGTTGGACATTTTGGCTGGAAGAAGAGACTCTGAAAGTGTTTTCAAATTTGATTTATTTTAGATACTATCAGTGGATTTATTTGTGTTTTTCCTAGTAGCGATTGTAAGCATTCGTCAGTCTCAGAAGCGTTTGCATTTTACTAGGATAACTAGCTACTCTCTGTTCAGGCATTGTTCAAAATCTAAAATTATTGTTTTTCCAATGAAAATATAAAGTAATATAGTCAGGAGGAAATAAGGAAATCAAATAAATAAATCTTATATGATTCAATTAAATAAGCTAAAGTTCTCCCAAATGTATATATATATATATATATATATATATATATATATATATATATAAAGACATTTTTATGTTTATACATTCTTTTATAGATACAAATATTTAAGTAAATGCTAATTTCTAATAAACAGTATTAAACAACATTTATCGGCCTGAATGTCCGAGAAATTTTCATAGAATATTTCGTCCTCCGACAGGATTCGAATCCTGTCGGAGGACGAATATTCTGTGAAATTTATATATATATATATATATATATATATATATATATATATATATATATATATATATAAGACAACTAAAACACCAAGCTACAGCAAACCCAAACCGAAACTAAAAGTCTTCGGTCTCAGTGCAACGACAAGATTTGAGATAAGCCTCCAGTTCTGGACGAGAGATGCACTATTACATAGCCTTTAGTAAAGAACGACATGTAAAGGAGGTAAACAAAGGCAAATCGATATGGTGAAACGAGATTACTGATTTAACTCCCTCTTTTTATTTATCTAACTATATATATATATATATATATATATATATATATATATATATATATATATATATATATATATATGTGAAGAAATATACTCTTAAGGTGGGCTTTATTTATGGGATAAAGTGCTCAATATTAAAGATAGAGCGTGTGTAAATATAAAAGTGAGCACTTGAGGTAACAGTAAATATAAAAGTCAACACTTAGAGGTAACAGTCTGTTTCATGCTAGACGCAATCGTCAGGCCGCCTGAAACATGTCGCCTCTAAGAGTTGACTTCAATGTTCATTTATATATATATATATATATATATATATATATATATATATATATATATATATGGGGTGGCGCACGGGTTCTCTGTATTCGTCCTTTCGAAATGTGTGATTCGTTCTACAGAAATCTTCGCTACTGTAACGAGATCCGCCGGTCGTTTGGCTTTTCGCTTCTAAGAATCTGTGCAGCTGGAGACTCATACGTCGAATATGACGAGAGATTCTATTTACAAACAGGGTGCGATGAATAAATTGTCGTCTAAATGACGAATAAATGAAAATAACATTGACATCTCATTTTAACAGATATATTTAACAAAATTAGACAAAAATCTTACTAAAGAGTAAATTTTATCAATAAAATCGCCATTGGCTTCAACCACGACCTCCTGATGACTTCGGAATCTCCTACAACTCTTCTGGACGTTCTCTTGGTTTAAGTGGGTGAATGCCGCCATAATCTTTGCTTTCAGTTCATTTTTGGTGTTACAAGAAGTTTTGTTGGTCTCTCGCTGAACTGCGCCCCACACATAATAATCAAGGGGGTGCAGTCTGGGGAGTTAGGTGGCCAGATGTAAGGGGTGATGTTCTTGCTGAAAGTGTTAGACAACCATGACTGGGTTCTCCTGACTGTGTGGCATGGTGCAGAATCTTGTTGCCAGACATAGGGTCTTCCAGTAGCCACCCACTTGAGCACTACTTCCTCGGGGCACTTGATGTAGACGTCTATGTCGAGTCTGAGAGTCTGTGGGAAGATGAATGGAGGCATAACGTCGCCATCACTAGTGATCATTCCAAACACCATGATGTTTGACTGGATATATCATCAAAATCTTTTCGAATCCTCTGCACTATCCACAGGCTGACACCCATATACACTGAAATCTCTGTATTAGAAATTCAGGCGCGAATACCATGCAGTACATCATACCGTTTGCAAATTTCTGTCGGAGTGAATTGCATTATGGTGCTCTTTTTCTCAGAGAAGATGCCCACCTTACTGTGCAGTCGACAAAATCAAAAACAATCAACTGGCATACGTGAAATTAAAACTATAAAATGGCGACAAATTTCCCATCGCACCCTGCTCATTCGTTACTGTCAAGCGGCACAAACGAAAAGAAAACCACATAGTTTTCGTATATACACCATATCCGAAAGCAATATATAAAAGAAAGTTTGCTGCCCAAATATACATTAGTATATATATATATATATATATATATATAACGGTTAATGGTCAGAGTTGAATCAGACCAGGAAAGGGTAGAATTAAAAAGTGCTCAATACACGTGAGAAAAAAATAAATAAAAATAAAAATAACATGTAGAGGTTTTAAGTTAAAATAACCAATGATAGATAGATAGTGGTCATTTTAAAAGTATAGCCCGATGAGACCACCAGGTCGAAACCGTGGTTGCGTATTTTAATTGACCTGATTTTCAAACATATATATATCCAACGTCAATAGCACGAATCGTAGGCGATTCATGCAGTCATAAAATCTTCTTGTGCGGAGTATATTCAGATATTGGAATATATATTTAATTAATTTTTTATTTAGTTTTTCCAGCATTCTTACATTTTTTCCGTTTAGTGAAAATAAGAGAGAGCAAAAGTAATCCGTATTGTCGATTGTTCAAAGCAATTTCGACTGTCTCGGTCATTAGTAAGAAGTTCATATTATTATTATTATTATTATTATTATTATTATTATTATCACTGTCTTATAGTCACTTTGTGCGTGGTCGGGATAATTCTATAGAGTAAGTCACTTTTAAATTATTTAAAAAAATAAACAAATGGTTTTAAATTTAAAGTTTAATAGTCAAGTCAATGAAAATAGGTAATCACGAGATAAAGAATAATACACAGAAAAGAAACATCTACAGGGATAGATAGATAGATAGATAGATAGATAGATAGATAGATAGATAGATAGATAGATAGATAGATATGAACAGACTCAGATAGATAGATAGATAGATAGATAGATATGAACTGGTCAAACTCTCTGCCTCATTGCTGAGAGGATCCCCAGACGAGGCTATGTCGAAGGGCAGAGTCTCGTCTCGAAAAACAGCTACCTGACCCTGTTTTATACGGGTCTATGGGGAATTTTTGGTAGTTGGAGATTCATTGTGGAATTCACTTAATTCACTTCTAACAGATGACTACTACATCTCGGCGCCGCTGGCAAATCTTATATGTGTTGTTCTTGTCCTAAATATTATCGTTCATTACCAACCTTCGTTTGATTATTCTATTCAGTAACCTTCCCTAGGTTATAACAATATCGGACGTCTAGCCACACTGAAGAGCTGTGATACAGCGAAACAGTCTCTTTGTGGATGACAATATATGGGCTCCTGAAAAATTAATTTCGGTTGAGCTCTCTGGGGGAGGAAGTGTGATACACGCTTAGGCGATCATGTATCTTTCGATACGACGCAGTTTTTTTCCCGTAGTAGGTTGTCATTTCTTCCTGCGGTAAACCAGTAGCCACCCAAGGATATAGAACCCGGTCTGTCCTGCTCTTTACCCATAGCTGGGGGAGAAGAAATGGATTCATACATTTCTATCAGGTAAGTGAATGTAATGGATTCAACTGGAATTCGAACTCGACTCTCCGATTCCTCAATCCGAGTCGCTATCCATTACTCAGCTATCCATTATATGCTCACTTTATTTCATGATTGTGTTATCTTCATTCAATGGAATGAAAACATAACAGATAGATAGATAGATAGATAGATAGATAGATAGATAGATAGATAGATAGATATGAACGAATTGAGATAGATAGATAGATAGATGAACAGACTGAAATAGATAAATTAACAGACTGCGATAGATAGATAGATAGATAGATAGATAGATAGATAGATAGATAGATAGATAACGTTGGGAAATGTTGAGGTGAAAATAATACCACATTTAATTCAGTGCTGCTGGCAAAGCTGATCCTATGGATTAACGGATTAGTGACCTCTAATTTCAATGATCCGGGTGGGCGTAGAAACAGATCGATGTTATGAAGGAAAAGAAAGCCAAAGTCAATGCTATTCATCCGTCAATTTTCTGATCATCACATCTAGCCTCACTTTGGAAAAGTATTTCGCATCGGGAATTCCATGCAAAATGAATAAAATTCACTTCACCCGACAGCTTTACTCTAGTCCTGGCCAAGATATGCTGTGTTATTAAACTTTTTATTGGTATTTGTAGATTGTTTGTTACGTAGAGAGTAAGCGCACATTCACACGCCGGCCAACGCACACACACAAATAGCAGTAGTAGGTTTAAAGGCTCTGCTGAACCCTACATGTATGGGAGTTCCGGATTGGTCACACAACCGTCCAATTGCAGCCAGTCTTCCTGCTACCTCAACGGGAGATATGAAACTCTTGGTCTCTTTTAGCTCCTGGGACGGGAACAGACCACCAACGACTCATCTGTCCCTCTTCTGACACCACATGCCGAATAGATAGATAGATAGATAGATAGATAGATAGATAGATAGATATGAACAGACTGAGAGATAGATAGATAGATAGATAGATAGATAGATAGATAGATAGATAGATAACATTAGGAAATGTAGAGGTGCAAATAATTCTACATTTGAGTCAAAAATATAAGAAAAAAAAACTTTCCCAAACGATAAAAGTTTTTCACGTTTTTATATTGTTTCTCAATCGAATAAACGTTTCGTTTCAACTCTTCTTATTTTTCTTCTCACATCCAGATGTCCGCCATCATAAAACATTTCATTTCTAAGCCAATTTTGCAATTCTTATTTTCGTGAACTACTTGAACTTTTGAAAGGTCACTTCACTTTTATGGATGAAAAAGAATATTTTTTTAGTTTTATACAAATATGATGACTAATTCTTTTTCAAGCAATGACGTCATTTGATCCATCCTCAAATATAGGCAGTACAGATAGTGTTGCTAGGGTCTTTTATTGTCTTGTTCTGATGTGGCAACGTTGGGCGTCTTTGGCAGTAGGTGTAGTATAAATGCCGCATAATACTTATAAAGAACGACTTTTCTCTGTGAGTTGCCTCTTTGCTGATCTTTGAGGCCTAAACTCTTTAAACAGATGCGATCACGTTCATTACAAGTTAAAACAAAAATTGTAGGGACATTTTCAGGGAAATTAACACCAAGAAAACATACAATCAGAAAATACAACACAGAAATACATACAAACATGATTTTTAAGAACTATTATTTATATCGCTATTAAAATATTCTGGGGCTTACGACCATATCGTGTTGAAACACCAGTTCCCGTACAAACACCGAAGTTAAGCAACATCGAGCCTGGTTAGTACCTAGATGAGTAACCGCTTGGAATATCAGGTGTAGTAAGCTTGGATATTCGAGTGGTGCAATGGACAATGGCTCGGAATTGTTAATCGGAGAGCAGAGTTTCAATTTCACTTCAGTTCGTTATAATCACTTTACGCGCAAATATCCCTAGGAAAGGTATGAATCCACCTCTTCTCCCCAGCTATGGGTTAATTAGTAAGACTTAATAAACCATTATTATCTCAATAATATTCTTACAATGTAAAAATATTTTCTAGCTTTAAATGACCTGCAAAGGGTTGATAAGCCGTAAAAAATAATCAATCAATCAAGAATATTCTATTTAGAAAATTTTTCTGTAAAGGGCAGAGTGCATATCAGATAAAAAGCAGTGGTCAAAATAACAAAGATAAGGATGATCGTCTGATTAATTTATGGAAGAATGACAATTTCAGTCAATATTCAGAAGGCCGGAAACTACCTATTTTTTAAAAATCGGTATCATCCTAAGCAAGGCAGTAAAGCCACTAAGACACAAGGGGTTACTTGGTGTGGAAGAATTAGCAATAGAAACATTAATAATGAGCAGGGAGAGGAAAAAGTAATCAGGAGGACAGTAGGAAGCGATTGACAAGGCATTTAAATTTTTGCAGTTTAAAGTTGGCTAGAAATCATTGAGCCGGAAGGAAGTTCTACAATCCAGAAAAGAAACTGTTAATATAGAATTTACAGTTACATCTAGCCAGCTCAACTGTAAATTAATGAAATATCGATGCCAGTCTAATACTGCGTTTAATTTTTTTTTTAAAATCTAGTTAATCATAGTGAAGAGCTCATCCGAACAATTACCATGAAAGTATTTCTAGAAAAGACACAGAGAGGCAACCTTACGGCGGTGGGAAAGTGTATCTAGCCAAGCCGCCAGATCAGGACTAATAATATTGCTGATTCTTATTTGGATCTTATTAAGGAGCCCGAGGTAAACAGCAGGGACAATAGACTATATGTGGCAGCAATATTCCAAGCATGGACTAATTGTAGACTTATAGATATGCAAGATAAATTCAAGAGAGAAAAATTATCTAGCATGACACTGAACCTAGCTTATCTGCTAAAAGAAAACAAAGAGACTAATTGAAATATTTCATAGAATCGAGCAATGGTTTATCGAAGAAGACTTAAGAAAAAAGAAATGATTGATTGATACTTTGATTCAAATCAATAAATATCAGGTATCATGAGTTAAATGAATCGAATGTGATGATCCTGTGAATTCACCTGCAACTAATATTCAAATATGTGTGGCAAACATTCTCGATGCTGTAAAAAGTTAGTAAGATGCAGTAGGATGTTTTGATTGGATACGTGTCATGTGTAGTGAAGTAACAGATAATATTTGAATAAGTGTAAGAAAACACACTTTATCATCCAGAATGTTTTCTTACACTTATTTAAATATTATCTGTTACTTCCTTACATGTGAGACATATCCAATCAAAACATCCTACTGTGTCTTACTAACTTTTACACACTGTAGCGTCGAGAATGTTTGCCACACATATTTGAATTTTATCTGTTATTTCATAACACGTGACATGTAACTAACCAATAATAAATAGGCAAATACAACATACAATTAATCTGCGTCTCTTTGTTTTAGCATTTTATCATTTCTATCTTAATCTCTGACGAAGCTTTAATAAAGTAAAACATGTTAGATTAAGATTTGTTTCTTACTTGTTCTTTATTCTATCAAACACACACTTATATATATATATATATATATATATATATATATATATATATATATATATATATATATATATCATACTTATTATAAAAACCCAGGTTCTGTGTGTGTGTGTGTTCGTTTATATATTGGATCGGATTTCCTACATTTTTCAACCGATTTCAACAAAACTTCACAGGACTACGTAAAATTATCTTGTAGTGGTTCTAACAGCGCAAAATTGGAAAAACACAATTGTTTTTGCACGAAATCAATTTGAAAACACGATTAAGAGGCATTGCTGTCGCGAGAATGAAAGGGGGACAACTGATATCGAATTATAATTATTATAAAACCCAGGTTGTGTGTGTGTGTGTGTGTGTGTGTGTGTGTGTGTGTGTGTGTGTGTGTGTGTGTGTGTGTGTGTGTGTTCGTTTATATATGGGATCGGGTTTCCTACATTTTTCAACCGATTTCGACAAAACTTCACTTTTTTTTTGGCAGGTAGTATTTCTTATTGTCTTGCACATTTTTTTCTTTATTTTTACATTCAGAATGCTTTAAAAATTCCATTTACAAGACAATTGTTTATAATAAAATTCTATTCAATCGATAGACTCATAACGATTGAAAACAATGTTTTTGTTTGAGTTTGACCAATTCGTAAAAAAAACCCAAAAAAACAAACAACAAAAGAAAAACTAATTAAGACATTCTTGTCCGTCAACCTTAAACAATAATCTTTGTCAATTTTATTTTTCAGTCTTTATGATTGTCGATACTTGATCTATCTCTTACTGTTACATCCCCGGGCAACGCCGGGCTCTACTGCTAGTATATATATATATATATATATATATATATATATATATATATATATATATATATATATATATATATATATAAACCGAACATAAATGCGAAAAATCACCTTAAAAATTGGGGTCGTGTTATACTTAAATTCTAAAAAAAGAAACCTTAAATTCTGATTGATGTTTGTCAATAGGCTGACGTTAGCCTCGTTGCAATAACCAATAACATACATGAAAAGAGTCACATTATCGAATAAACTGATAATAAATGTAATAAAACCATTTCTATCTTATATATTACTGGCTTAACTTCATAATAAATTGCCTATTCAAAAAATAATTCCATATCAATGAAATCAACTTGTATCCATGCAAAACTCAGCTGAGAAAATATAAACATTGAATTATGATTGCATTCACAGCAATATTTATCTTTTGTTAAACTTTCAATAATCATCATGGTAATGTGAATTATAGCACTAATAACATTTAGGATAACATAATAATATTCATTTCTCATTAAAAATTCATTATCATTTTGGTAATAACACATTAAATAATAACACAATTTACGATTACATGCAACATTTCAAATAAAAATCCTTTTAAGGTAGTTGCATTTAAATTTTTAGGCTATTATAAAACTATGAAGTATAAGTAAATGGTCATTAGTACACCAGGTTGTTCGTAAGTGTTTAGATGTAGGATTAGTACACGGATGGATACACAAACAAAATAATTACAATTAATCCTCGTTTATTTTAAATACAAAATAAAACATTTAATCCCCGTTTATTTAAAATGTAAAACATAAATCCTGGCGTACTTAAATACAAAATATTTTATTGTATCAAATAGATTTGTAAATACAAAATTATTTCTTACGGTTTTAGGTCTGTTTATTTTTATGCAAATTAAAAAGAAAACAGTAATCACGTTTATGTTTAATATAAAATATAAATCCCTATTATATATATTTTAATTTCAATTAAAGGTGCAAATTATAATTTATAAATTCATGAATCATTCATCCAAAAATAAATATTAAAATAACTGATCCAACGTGCAACTTTCGGATAATAAGTGTGACATTGCTGTAATTATTGAACAATATAGTTCATACCACATAAACGGAAAATCTACCAGTAAAAAAGAATTCTCTTTTGTACAAAAACGCACAACCTTAAACTTTAAATTCAAACTCAGCGTTGCGACCGCACGTTCCAAAACAATAACACATTTCTCATAGCATTTTTTTCGGATTACATGTCTATTTTCGTTGTCCTCTTATTACCAAGAAGTAAAAACAAGAACAAAATCTATTTCCATACCTGAGGATGTCTGTAGGAACAGACGAAAGCTTGTAAAAATTAAAAGACCTGATGCAACTGGAATTTATGAACATGGACCATATCATTCATATACAGGTTTGGGGGTTGATGTATCTTATTTATATTGTTTGCGAAGATGTATTCTCGCCATTTAAATCATTAACCTCTATATTTGTTTTTTGTATGAATGATTCATGAATATATATATATATATATATATATATATATATATATATATATATATATATATATATATATATATATATATATATATATATATATATATATTGTTATACGTTATTTATATAGACACAAATATTTAAGTAAATGCTCTGTTTTATAATAAACAATATTAACAAAATTTACCAGTCTGAACGCCCGAAAAATGTTCATAGAAAATGTGTGTCCTTCAGGAATCGAACCTGTATCTTATACAGAACCATCATATAGCTTGTCGTGCTATATCACATATATATGTGTGTGTATGTATGTGTGTGTGTGTGTGTGTGTGTGTGTGTGTGTGTGGAGCTGTTATTTTCCCGCCCTAAACGATCTTCAATCAATATTCGGTATTGATTTCTGTCGGCTCACCATCTTTATCCAGAAATTATTTCCGATATTGAGTACTCTTCTCACATAAAGCAAATTTTAGATAATCACACACACACACACACACACACACGCGCGCGCATAACACGCACGCGCGCACACACACACACACACACACACACACACACACACGCACACACTGCGCTTAAGTTTGTAAAGGCGAGGTAACAAAGAGAAGAGCTTATTAGAACAATTAGCATGAAAATATTGATAGAAAAGTTTTCCTAATTGGTCATTATTTAATCATTTTGTTGGATGTAATCGATATTTTCCATTTGTACTCTACTAGTATATAAAAAAGTATATTATGATTATTTTCGACGTATGAGAATAAATATATCCCAGCACTACACACACATGTGATTCGATTATAGTGGTGGAGGCTTTTGGAAAATCAACACTTTTTGGAAGAACCAAATGCAGAAAACTATATTCCATACGATTCTCTTCAGATTTTGAATTCAGAGTTGTCCTTGACTAGTTGCCAACCAAGGCTACAGAGGATAGTCTGCCCTACTAAGAGTATTTCACGTAAGGGAATGTAACGAACCCGACTGGAATCCGAACTTGGCTATTCGACAATCCGTGCCGCCATCCATTACACCACCACGCATGGACACACACACACACACACGTCTATATTTCTGAGATGAGGTATTATGTACATTAATTAATAATGTACATTAATTACATTATTAATATTAATCATATTTATTATAACTTGGTTGGAATGTCGAACTGAACCCTTTATTTCTCTCATGTGCCGTGTTTAATGGATGTCAGTTATCAGTTATCTCCTGTTAATTTTCCCTCTGAAAGTTCTCCACTGCCTTAACCGGGTATTGAACACACACTCTTCTGGTCCTGTCACTGGATCTAACCAACGCCTTTATCCACTGTGCCATGTGTCCTTGTGTATGAATTTCTGCGTATTATATACCTAATGTCTTCAGCTATCATTTTTACCAGTGCTCATATTGCAATTTTTGCTGTTATCATTACATTTTTTTTACCAGAGCTCATATTGCACTTTTTGTTGTTATCGCTTTTCTCTGGCACTCCTTATTACTGGTTCCCATATTATATTTATTTCTTGCTTGGTCGGCTCAGGAGATTTTTGTGGCCTGGCATATGTGCTGATTCCTTAAGTTTATGAATTTTCCAATGGTGTTCTTTGTCTATGATCTCAGCCTGATCCAACAGTGATCTCTCTTCTCTCCACATATGTGGTCAGCCAAGCCTGATTTTTCCACTTCCCCTCGTGTTACAGTGTTCTTGAAGCCTTACCTTAAGAAGGCGGCCTGTCTCTCCTTTATATTTCTTTCCGTAGCTGCACGGGATAGCTTACACACAGTCTTTGGTCATGTTCTCCTCTATGGGATAGGCGGCTACAAGAGGAGGAAAACAACACCCAAAAACCAGTTTGCCTGCCTTATCTGAAGGGGTTTTCAGAGAAAATACAAAGGATCTGCGGTCCATATAACAGGACAACCTTGAAAAGCTTGACGACACTTCGCAGATATCTCTCCCAAGTAAGACCCCGCCCAGAACTGTTTCATGCTGGACGTAATCGTCAGGTGGCCTGACGGTTGCGTCTAGCCTGTCGCCTCTGAGTGTTGACTTCAATGTTCACTTTTATATATATTATTAGCTTGTCACGGCAGCCTCACTTTTAACAACAAAAAGTGGAAGTGACAAAAAAGAAATGGAGATAAGATGTGGTTGAGATAAATGAAAGATTTTTTTTTCTTTTCCTGTGATTTACAACGTTCGATCATTTGTTCGATCCCTGTTATCGTATATCAGTCGTTGAAGATTGAGAGTTCGTTCGGCGTATAACACAAGGTAGTATTTGAGATAGAAACGTGGAGAAAATCAACATCCCTGTAAAGTCGAGTGGGATAGACTTGTAGGAGAAATATTCTCGAAATATCACATTGTAGTAGTAGAGAGTATGAACAGCAGATTGGCTTTGGGTGTTGAAGAAACACAGATGGACCTGAGCCGATGGGCATGAGCCGACGAACCTGAGCCGACGGGCCTGAACCAATGGGCATAAGCCGACGGGCCTGAGCCGACGAACCTGAGCCGACAAGCCTGAACCAATGGATATAAGCCGACGGGCCTGAGCCGACGAACCTGAGCCGACAAGCCTGAACCAATGGATATAAGCCGACGGGCCTGAGCCGACGAACCTGAGCCGACAAGCCTGAACCAATGGATATAAGACGACGGGCCTGAGCCGACGGGCCTGAACCAATGGGCATAAGCCGACGGGCCTGAGCCGACGAACCTGAGCCGACAAGCCTGAACCAATGGATATAAGCCGATGGGCCTGAGCCGACGGGCCTGAGCCGACGGGCATGAGCCGACAAACTTGAGCCGACGAACCTGAGCCGACGGGCCTGAATCAATGGGCATAAGCCAACGGGCCTGAGCCGACGAACCTGAGCCGACAAGCCTGAACCAATGGATATAAGCCGACGTGCCTGAGCCGATGGGCCTGAGCCGATGAGCTTGAGCCGATAGTCCTGACCCGATGGGCATAAGCCAACGGGCCTGAGCCGATGGGCCTGAGTCGCTGGGCATTAGCCGATGGGCCTGAGCCGATGAGCCTGAGCCGACGAGCATAAGACGCTGGGCCTGAGCCGATAGTCCTGACCCGATGAGCATAAGCCGACAGGCATGATCCGATGGGCCTGAGTCGCTGGGTATGCTCGAAAACGAGTAGCCATATTGTCGATGAGAAATCACATTGATTTACAATGGGCCTTCATGTCAAAAGAGTTCTATGGAAAATGATCAAAGATCGAATATTCCAGATTCCAGTGCCCTTATTTTTATTCCATGTGTTAGTCTGACACACGGCGGTGAGTATGGAGCACTCAGTGCTGTTTAGTTAAGCACCCAAAACAGTGATTGATTCATTATAAGCTGTTTGAGCTACAATTACAGTGGTAACATAAAGAAACTCTTGGGTACCTTGAATGAAATTTTATCGGTTATTCAAGGTGGCTTGCACCTTGACCTTCCTCGACCTATTATGAAAAGACAGAGATGATATAAACTGTCAACTGAGTCATCTGGCTACAGTTGCTATCGAATGATTGACATACATAAAAAAAACAAGAGATATCTTAAGGCATTCATTTTATCGAAGCAACACGAACCGACATGACGTGACATTCAATCCAAAAAATAAAATTTGGATATGCACTAGCGTATTTTGGCTGGAGGCTATGTGATGCCGCACTGACCTTACTGTAAGATTGCACACTATTTACATTATTCGGACTATTATCCTCATCTTTGTCACCATATTTATTACAACGTTTCGGCCGTTGTACGCTCCGGCCTTCTTCAGGTAGTTGGAATGTCGAACTGAGCCCTTAATTTCGCTCGCTGGGATAGACTGTTCTAGTTCCACGTGCCATGCTTAATGGATGTCAGTTATCAGTTATCTGCTGTTAATTTCCCTCTGAAAGTTCTCCACTGCCTTAACCGAGTATTGAATTCACACTCTTTGAGTCCTGTCACTGGATATAACCAACACCTTTATCCACTGTGTCATGTGTCCTTGAGGACAGCTGGGTATGAATTTCTGGCACAGTGGATAAAGGGGTTAGTACATAACACCTCATGTCAGAAATATAAACAGATACTGTAAGATTTCAATCAACTATTTTGCTGACCCCAAACTGATCGCACATCTCTAACCTTATCACAATTTTAGGGTAACGTTGTGAATTGTTAACATCATTCCACTTATTTTGTAATAAAATGCTTTTAGTGAAGATGTGGAGGCTGTCTTTTTTAGCAGCTCAGAAAGAGAAGACGGCGATCAGAGTTCGAATTCCCGTCAAGTTCGTTACACAGATCGATAAGGTGAGAGTCCATATTTTCTCCCACCCTAGCTATCGGTTAAGCAGCAGGACAAACTATGCTCTCTAGCCGCGTTTGACAACCATTCCAGGAGAAGAACATCTCTGAAATGAAAACACAGCCACGTGAAGCTGTTCAAAGATATTTCGAAATGAGCTGCAGACATTATGTCTGTAAAACAAACAAACAAAAAAATTTCAACAACCAAGGATGATTCCACTAGAGAACGATTAGGTGGATTGGATTGGATTGGATTGGATTAGGCTGGCGTTTAAGTGTAGCTTTGTCGGTCGGTCGCAAAGCACTTGCGCGTCATCACAGACTGGGAAAGAAAAAAATAAAGCCACCACAGCAGATCGTCAAGGCTGAAACTACACACCAGCTTTAACATCACCGCTTAAAATAGTTTCACATATTAAGGTACGAATGCTACAACATATGTGGTGGATGTGCGGGTGATGCAATGGAGTGAAATTCGGAATGAGAAATCGGAGAACCGAGTTCCAATTCCACTCGGGTTTGTTATATCCACTTACACGCAAATACTCTGGGGAAAGTAATTAATCCATGTCATCCACCACCTACGGGTTAAATAGTAAAATTTGTATCAGGAAAAATCATTATTATTCTCAAAAAATTAATTAATTAATTAATGTAGTATTTAAAAAAAGCGACCGACAAAGGCGTGATAAACCGTAAAAAACAAATCAATGTTTTTTAGTCTCCTTTTAAAGCATGGAATCGCAAGGTGGTGCTTCTGTGTTTTCATCAACATGCAAATCTTTAGACTATCGCTATTTTGATGTCAGATGTTTGGACGAGCGTCATTCGTCCAAATATTCACATCTAGGATCCGCCATGACACATAAACAGAGTCACCTCATCCACATTCCTTTCGTCTTTCATTGGTAAGGAAGAAGTTCCACTCAAACAGCTTCTTTGCCAGAACTGTTACTTTCTGGAACAGACTCCTGAAAGGATGTTTACCCGATCACTATAATCTCAACCGCTTCAAGTCTACGGTCAATCGTTATCTATCTTCATTTTATCTTCTTTTACCCCCCACCCCACCCCACACACTCCTTATACGCACTTACAACAAACCTCATTCAATAAGCTTCTACCTAGAGTTGCTCTTGTTTTTTCCTTTTTATTTGGTGAATAATTGTACTAAAAAATGATTGTTAACCGAACGCTCTTTATGAACTGCATATGAAAGATAAAGGACTCCAAATACTTCACTGTTTTCCCATACCTGGTGGGTGGGGGAAGAAATAAACATATATTTTCTATAGATATTAGTGAGAAGTAGACTGTTCAGTATGCTCTTACAGAACGCATACGCTGGCCCGGAATAGCAAACTACTGGTCAGAATTCTAACAGTAATTTATTGCCTTTGTTTTAGTGCTTGATATATGACCAAAAAGGCGTATGCCTCCCGCCCCCAGGCTCTTAGTGAGGCACGTGACGATAGAATTCTAGCCAGTGATATGACATGCGTCCTCCCTCGCCTTCTGGTTTCTTTCTAGAAACGATGCTACAACTTTTGCCCCTCATATAATAAAGCCAGATAAGAAAAGGATATAGTGTTGAAGTCTGAAGAACTGAAGTCAGAGATCACTCGAAACACGGTAACTATTTGTGATATTTGTGCCAATCAAGTGACAAGAGACAAAAGATCAATAAAACAACTCAAAACTTCGGCGCTAAACAAATATACGCATTCAGTTTAAAAAGAAAGAACCAAGAACATTAAAACAAGGCGAAAACAATCGTCCATTGTTTAAGGTCCAAGTCCGAAGAAAAAAACAAAACGATAAAAAGACAACTACGTAAAGTGCTCAATACACTAAGTTGAGCAAACCTAAGTACTGACGGTACGTGACTGATATATATATATATATATATATTTCGTACTATTATCTTCATCTTTCTTTTCAACTTTTGATGCGTATATTTTTCGACCTATGTCACGAGTATTTTGCAACCTGTGGTCTTTAGTAGTTACGTGATATTTTTGTCTTCATTTTCATTCCTAGAAGTACACTGGCCAACAGAATCACAGGACGAAATGGTAAGGTTTCCTATTGTTTAGCACAAGAACTGGTCAGATTAAACGAGTATTATCAAGAAATCTATTGTGTCTCGCAAATAATATTCATATCATCATAGCTGAGATTATGTAAACGACATTTTTGCCACCTTTTGATACAGGAGACTTAATTGCTAAAATGCATTTTCGTTGACAATTTTGGGATATAGTATTCCAGTTGTCGAGATAACATTGAAGAAGGAAAAGGTATTTAGTCACATTTAAAAGCCAGGTGCAATATACTCTAGAAGAAGGCCTAAGAAGATATCGGTCGATAGGATGTTTCAAGATAATGATGAAGTCATAAAACTACACAAAATAATTACAAAGAAACAATTGCTGTCTTGTTAAGAAAAAAAAATGTCGTCCTTATTAGTTTCGAGGCTCGATCATTTATTCAGAATTTTATATTGACAATTTGCATCAATAAAAGAGAATTAAAAATGTTTCCAAATAAACCATTGATACGATTTTACCTGCTTCTTGTTTATCTCCAATGTTTCAAAATTAGGCTGTTAGAAAATTTCGTTACGAATAAAAAAAATAGACTTGAAATGACTGAGACATGTTGAGAATAACATGGACAATGCATGTTACGAACAAGGAAGTTCTAAGAAGAATAGGAACTAAAACTTAATAATAATAATAATGAAAAGTAACTATCTATATCTCTGAGATGAGGTAGTATGATTACTTGCTTTATCTACATTATCCTCATCTTCATTGTCATATTCACAACGTTTCGGTCGTTGTACGCCCCAGCCTTCTTCAGGTGATTGAAATTTCGAACCGAACCCTTTATTTCTTCCACCGGAGTAGATTGTTCTACTTTCACGTGCCATGCCTCTTCCGGGTGTCTCAGTTATTTCCCTTTAACTCAACACTCTAAGTTTTGGTTCACCACTACCGTGGCCTGGTATTGAACTCACAACTCTTTGGGTCTAGTCACTGGATCTAATCAATGTGTATTTATCCACTGGTCCATTTGTGCTATTTCAGTTTCATAATCATTTGCAACATGAGGACAGGTATTTCCATGAAGCAAAATCACAGGTCAATTTCGTTGCTGATTAAAAAAAAAAATGTATTGCGGGTATGAAAACCTATTTTTATACTTTCGTAGTGTTTTGACCCCAGTTTGGGGGTTAACTATTTGCCCATAGATGGGACCCTAACCCTTGCTGCCACCCCGAATCAAGGTGGACCTGGGAACACCAGCAATTAAGAGGTGGATCCTCGCTCCTCAAAACCTCCTGATCAGAGGCGTTGCTGCTGGTTATAGTTTATCGTCTTACCCAGGACGCGGATGTAGTTTATCATTATACACAGGACGCTATTTTCTCATCAATGTCGTTGGTCAGTGTTCGAACTAAAACGAAGTTTTCGAAAGCTGATTTTAGAGGCGTGTATTTCTCATCTGAAAGTGTGTCAAACTGTTGTTAAGTTTTATTATCTCTCTGAAGAGAAAACAGCGACGATGAATGGCTTTAAAATTAAGAAAATTCTGTTGTTTATGGCGAGAATTTTTCTAATGTGGAAAAATCAATAGAAAAAGAACGACACGACGATCCTGATTAATTTCATTTTTATTAAGAAGGGGAGGGGGGAGGTTAGCACGTGGAATAAAAATTATAAACATCTGCTTTAAGTAAAGTT